CATGTTTGAGGACTCTATTGCTAGAGAAAAAGGTTGGAGAAATAGGCAGTGGATTGGTTTGAGCAGCAGGCAGTGCTGCTAAGGTAGAACATATGACAGATGACAAACGTTTCCTCTATGCTGTGCCAACTATCACATTTGGATTTGACATCTGGAGCAGAAAGAATTATTTCCAAATTATTAAATGTTTACTCTGCAACCAATAGCAATCATGGATACTTGACACTCATTCTATTTAAATTTCAAGTGACATACAAGGTAGATAGATAGGTTGTCTCATTGATGTGGCAACCCAATGGTCAACTACTGAAAATGGTACAGTTGATACTGGAGCTAAGATCTATGTAAGTTCCAAGTTCATATTTGATTATGTATCCCACATTTTGGAAGGGACTGGGCTTAGTGTGCAATGGCATATTTGGAACCTTAAGTAATATAGGACCAGTAATTTTTAATCACATTTCGACTTATTGAAAGTCTGATTTTTAAAAATTAGTGTTGCTTATTTTTCCTCTAAGATTAGGCTGCGTGACACGTCAGAAATTATACAGTGGCCAATAAACGCTAGCTGTCTGTTTTTAGGGTGTCGTGGGGAGGGAACTCAAATATCTGTGAACGAATTATGAATGGACGAGAATCCCCAGGTGGTTCAAGAGGAAGCCAAAGGAACATTCAAATGTTTCCCTGTGTCTTCCCATGGGAAAGATTCTAATGGATGGGATTTAAAGAAATGAGGGAAGAATAGCATCTTACACTGATTGATTTCCAGGTCATAAATGCAGATGCTACCTCCAAATGACCCCTTCATGACAATCATACCAAAACAAAACCACTTTTAAATGGCATTCCAGCAGAATGACTTCGTGGTTTTCCATAACCTTATTTTATAACAACACAGTCCTGGTTGTTGACAGGCAGGTACCATCACTTCACCCCTTCAGACATATGAAGGAAAACACAGTAGGCTTCCTTTCCCAGCCCCTGACAAAGATTTTGGAAAGTCCTAAGAAGGATTCACAAAATTGTGAGGGATGAAACAGGGCTGCTCATACGATGTCTGATAAAATGGCTTTCTATGTCCTCTGATGATCAGAGTGGCGATGATCACACAGCCCATTCCAGAGCTCCTTCACCTGGCTCCAGGACCCAGCTTGCTACTGGCCAGGGCTGCTGGCCTTGGCCCCTCTTTGAAGCCACTCCCCTCCCAGGAGGTGATAGATGCTTCTGGTGGTGTCCCTTGGCAGTCGTTCTCACTAGCCCTCCCTGACACTACACGGTCTGTACTTGGCTCCTGCACTAAGGAGAGTGGCCTATGACTTTATCAGCGTGGACTTATCAGATTTACTTGGGCATAAACACAGCCCCCTGATAGCTGCGGTAGCATGAGAATGCCAGGAGATGTTGAACGAAGGTAATTCTTCCCTAACTTGCAAATTTTATTGAGAAGTTGAATGGAGACCAATCCATCCTTCACATAACTTGTTCAATGTGCATTCGTCTGAGCATATGTTCTAGGTGGCAGGCCTTTTACCAGGCAATGGTGAATTTGAAGTCAGACTCTCTCCTTTCCCTGGAAGAACTCCAATCTGGCGAAAGAAATTTACAAACATCCCCAAAACTATAAAAAAAAAAAAAAAAAAAAAAAAAAAAAAAAAAAAGAGGTAGGGATATGAAAGGTGGTGGAACAGAAAAGTTGAAATAGCTTTTCATAGTGTTACTTTGCCAGAGGTGCTTGTCTTTCTGTGGTCAAAAGGTAGCATTTAAGCCACAGGTAGGAATGACTTTGGGAACATCAGGACCTTCCCCTCTCCCATTTCGCCTAGGCAATGCTCTAAATATTTGGTCCTTAAAGAGCACGCAGCCTCCTCTAAAGCTAATCACTCCTAGACAGACAGGAGCATAGCAGCAAATGAGAGCCATTTCAAGTGAGAGAATGTAGGAAGTGCGGTTGAGTCGCCGTGAGTGGGGAGAGGTTGGATGGATCCCCAGTGTGAGGACAGTTCTTGCTCAGAGGCTGTGCATGTTCTAGGCTTAGATCTAAGCTGAGAGCACAGACAGCCAGTTAGTTCTCCACAAGGCCATCCTTCCCGCTCTCTCCTCACATGCACTCTGGAAACAGCTACTATGCCATGAGAACAAAATTCACCGTGTTTCTTAGATTTCCTTTCTTTTCCCCCTGTTTGTTCCCCTTCAAACCGGTAAATAAATTCTTTCTAAGAAGAGCATGAAGTCACGATTTGCAGCAATTATCCTCAGAGGTGGCCAAGAAAAACAAAGTATGATGCATCCTGTCTCTCACTAAGATCGCTGCCTAGCTGGGCTTCCCACTTTGCCTTAGACCCACAGCCTAATGTTATGTTTTCACGGACCTGGTCTCTCTGTAGGCACTCATTAAGGCATCTTGGTATGATCGGATGTTTTCCAGCCTCCAGGCTGTCCAATGAGCTTTTCTTCTCTCAATACCATCCCTTTGGCCCGGACCTCCCTGCCTTCGACTTTTCGGAAAAGTCTCTCTCCTGCTCCGTGTGCCCCTATCAGCATCTGCTCCCAGGTCCCACAGAAGGCCAAGCAGTAATAATATCTTCCAATAGTCTTGCCAAGGCTATTTGCATATAAATAGGATTCAACGCATTACACTGAGGGCATGGTCTCAAAAGATAGCCGCCTAGACAGTACTGAGGAGCTGGAAGAGAATGGAGGGGGTGGAAGACGGAGGTGAATAAGGGCCTTTCTCCTGCACCTGCAGTCAGCCCCCTCCTCTCAGTGTAAGGAGTAATCGCGTCTCCACCCCATCAGCCCTAACAAGGTCACAATGGACTTTGATATCAACTTTTTAATGACACCCTTCTCACATTGACATGAACTGCTTAGAATATTGTGAACTCCTGATTCTCGAAAGCCAGGGCTGGGCTAATGTGCCCAGGTCACGCAGAAGGAGGAGGTGGGACTAGGATTGCAGCCAGGTCAGTCTGGTGCCAAAGGTCAATCTGGGTCCTCTTTTTTTTTTTCCCCACCCCTGTCCTGCCTCTGAGCAAAGCGCCCCTCCTTTTGCTTTAATTCATTCCCTTCACCCTGTCTCCTGATGTCCTGAAAGGCTTTATCGACTCTCACCCTACTTCTAAGGTTACCTTTTGACTGTTCCTTTTATTCTTCCTTTAGTAGAAATAAATTTTACATCAGCGCAGGTGTCAGTACACTCCTTAAAGCTCAAATATAAGATATTAGCCTTCCCTGTCTTCTTCTGTAAAATAATACTAATTCCCTATTTCACGTTCCATTCATCAAAGTTGCTAATTAAGTCCCAATGGCCATTCAGGTAATTAGTTAATTGTGCCTTCTCCAAAGCAATGTGTTTTGAACATAAACATAATAAGATAAAATTTTTACGTATGTGAAAAAATATTTATATTTCATAGTTGGTTTTTGAATCTTAAAACTTACAATTTTAATTTTTATAATGTTTTACCATAATGAATTGTGTGTTACACATAACTAAGTAGTGAATTTTCAAGTAGTGATTTTTAAATATTAGCTATACATATTAATGTTCTTTGCTATATCATAATTTGTAAATAAAATGGTGTACTTTGTAAGTATGTAGGGAAACTAAAATTCACAAAGTAAATCACAAGTGCATAATGATGATGTTACAGAGGCCAAGTGTATTTAGCTCCACAGCCCTTTACTGATAAATAAATGAATAAAACCAATGAAAAAAAAAATTACTTCTGGTCTGGCCATTGAGAAACTATAATCAATGCCGTAATATTTCCCCTCTTTTGGAAAATAATGACACAAAGGAGCTGCATGGCTCAGGAACACTTCCTGAGATGCAGTGTGAACATGTTAGTCCTGACAATCAGCTCTGAAGATAAAGATTCAAGCGGGCCGTGCTTTTTAGGTCCCTGGACCACGGAGCCAGTGAACCCTTGCCTTCCTTCATGTCTGTGCCCTGGGACCACAGTTCCTCTCACCTGCAGGCCACCGCTGCTCACCCACGGGAGCAGCTCCCAGAGTCCCAGGGGGGCAGCAAACTACTTCCCGGCGACACCTTGTCGTGTGGCCCCCCATGTGCTGTCTGACACATACATTATTCAGTCTTCCCTCAGGTGGAGAAGAAACCATCGCGTTCCTCTTACTGTGTCATACATGACGGAAGCCCCCGTTTTACCCGGCTCTCCCAACGGAGGATCGATCAGAGGAGAGACAAAAGCAGGGACTCGTTCCCAAAATTAAATGCTGCACAAAGCCATCTCCTGCCTTGCTCCCCTAACGCACTGTGTGTCTCCCGGGGCTTTTGTTAACTCTCCCCAGATCGAATTACCCTGCCGATTACCTTGGCAACTAAAACAAGGACTCCTCGTGGGCTGACAGGCCGTTGGGCTGGGCGGTGACACCAGCTGTCAGGAATAAATGACCCTTAAGGCATCCCAAGTATTAAGCCCGATGAGAATATGCAAAGTGTCTGCTTTTCATCCAACTTGTGTGCAATGCACAGAGGAACCCCCTCCTGCTGACACAATTCTGTTCTCTACTTTGGATCAGCACGGTGGCCCTTCCTGTCTCTCAGGCTGGTAGACAGCTGGGCACACTGCAGCAGCCTTTATGATCTGCACCCCTCGCCCCAGCCCCTTGCCCTCCTCTTCCTCCCCCACCCCACCCCCAAATCTCTCCCTGGGTCTCTGTAGCTATGCACGGAGCCGCCTGTGATGATGGTGAGGCTTCGTTCTTAGCCCGTTGATCGTTGGAACAATAGCAACACTAACAAAGAGTCCGTCCGCACCCGGCTGTGCACACCAGCCTAGGCGACGGAGGGTGTCCCTTCATTCTGCTCCTGGCCCGCTCCCGCCGAGGCCACCCCTCTCCCCGGCCGGCTGGCGTGCAGGCGGAGCACGGGAACAAAGCATTGCTAGAAAGCAGAGCCCTCCCTCCAGCCTGCACCTCTGCTTCCCTCGATCCCTCAGCAAGCCCGCAGCAGCTCAATGGAAAAGAAGCGGTACCTTCCAACGAGAACATTCCGGCACAGGACTGTCACTGCAGAAGGAGCTGTCCTGGGCATGCACCGTCTCTTCTGGGCTCCGGGTCTGCCTGGTTGGCAGCTGCCCACCCAGGGCGCGTTCACACCGCGTGTGTGTGTGTGTGTGGTTCCTGTCTGCACTGAAGGGAGACTGAGCAGCTCAGCTCCCAGGCATCAGATCTTAGACCCTCGCCATCTGATTGGCTGCTTGCTGGCCTCCTGCCTCTGCCTTCACCTTCCACTGGGCTCAATGTATGTTCCCGAGGGACGCGGCCAGAGCACTGCCTGGGAGGGCACGGGTGGCCGGTGGGAGCGGTCTGCCTTGAAAACGCAGGGACGTGGTTGCCTGTGGCTATGTCTGATGTTGAATTTTTCCAAAGGGTTACCTGAGCTGCCCGGGAGAAGCCTAGCGAAATGGATGTAATGTAACAATTGTGGTTTTATGTTTCCTTTCCGAAAATACCTCGAGTCTACGGCCTGGCCGGCATATAGCACCGTGGTCAGGTGGTGTGTCTGTATAATCAACGTTAAATCAAAACAGATGGGATGGCAGAGTATATTAAGGGGGTTATTAAAAATGCCAGAAGGCGCCGGGGAATAGGGCTACTGAAGCTGTTTCAAGTGAGCGCCATAAATCTCTTGCACAAGATGCTCTTACAATATTTATCGTTCATTTTATGTGGCTCTGATCGTGAAAACATAAAGCTCAATGGAGGGAAAATGGGAAAACCTTTGTTAACATCCCCAGAAGAAAAGTTTCAGGGAAAAAATAGCGAATTTTTTATTCTCTGAGAGCAGGCAAAATTAGAAAAGAATAAAAAATGTATAGCTTTATTATCTCCTCTCCATATATTAGATTCAGTTTTACACATGACTTGACTTTCATCAATGCTTTCTCATTGAGTACTGGGTATTTAAAAGCAGCCATTGGCACATTATTATTTAAACTAGAGGCCTGGTGCACAAAATCCATGGGATTGCTAGCTCCCAACTACTTGCCTGCCTTCCAGCTTGATCACCCCTAACCAGTCCCTGCCAGCCTGATCGATGCCTAACTGCTCCCCTGCCACCTGATAGCCCCAAACTGCCCTCCCCCGCAGTACTGGTCACCCCCAACTGCCTTCCCCCCCCACTGCCAGCTATCTTATGGTGGCCATCTTTAGGCACATGGAGGTGGCCATTTTATGCAAGTGTATGAGGATCAATTTGCATATTACCTCTTTATTATATAGGATGAGAGGCTTCAAATTAAAGATGGTGAATTGACTGCATACACTTCACATTCTCCTCCTCCTAAAGCCTCACTGAAATGACAAAGTTTTTATTTTGAAAAGAATAAAACCACAAGGACAAAGAATTGGGAAAATTGCAACCAAATTTAGAAAACTAGAGAACAGGAGCTAGGGGCTAAATGACCAGGTAAAGTGGAAGCCGCCACTAGCAATGGGGGAAGTCCAGAAGGGACCAAATCCACAACACACCAGCTCAGTGTGCTCTGGAGCTGAGATATGATAGAGCTGTGGAAGCAGAGTTCAAGTGGCCCAAAGGCAGGTGGCCTGATTGCCCACGCCCACCTTAGCAGAACACCACAGAGACTAACGAGTGTCCCTGGACTGGACTGGTAAGAACAAAGGTACCAAATGTAAATATGGTTCATGGAAAATAGGCCTTCTCTCTCACACTCAGCTTCTAAGAGACAGGTGTGTACTGTCTACATAGCAAGGTGTCCTCCAGAAAGGACATTTGAAAAGTGTTCTTGGGGACTCTGATCACCTCAAAAGATAAGACTTAAAGGCATTAATATTGGTTCCTCTAAGAAATGGCCCAACCAGATCTCCCAGCTGGGAAGGACGCTTAGTAAGCTCTACGCATGAGTCTTTAGTGCCCCACTCTTACACATGAGTGGGTCAGACAAATACCTACTATCAAAGCAGAGACCATAAACAGGTAAGGAAACAGACCGACAGTCAATATGGGGAAATGTAAACAGAAGGGAACAATGGGAACATCGTTTAAAAGCTAGCATTCATGTCCTTGTCGAAATAAGAGAGGCCAGGCAGTTCCCACTCTGCGTGGTTCCAGTAGGCATGAATGTCAGCTACACGGTGTAGTGCTAACACTGGTCCCTGGCAATACAGTTGAGAGTCAGTTACCATGGTACATAGGCATACCTTAGTTCATCGCCCCTAGCTTTATTGAGCTTCCCAGATACGCATTTTCATCAGCATCAGAACCCTCCACCAGCAAAAAGGCTCAGGTGATGGTCAACAGCTTTTAACACTTAAGTATTTTTTAATTAAGGTATGTAAATTTTTTTAGACATACTGCTGTGACACACTCAATAGACTGCAGTATAGTGTAAACATAACTTTTATATGCTCTGGGAAACCAAAACATATGTGACTTGCTTTATTGAGTATTTGCTCTATTGCTGAGGTCTAATACCAAAACCACAGTATCTCCAAGTATTAAATATGGGTAATTGCATAGTCTACAACCTTTTCTGTTAGCTCTTCTGCCCACAGCCACTAAGTAATACTAGATGCACATCATGATCAGTGACCAATCACATCACTTCTTTCAAAGTCTGTCCGTGACTGGTTACTGAACTGGTGATTGCTAGCAAGATAAGAGAGGGCTTACAAGAACCATATTGTAAAAGTCCAGTAAATATAAAGAACAAGGTCAAGTGGCTTCCACATCTTTTAGGTTAAATCACACTATGGATAGAAAGCCACTTACGGTCAGATTGAAGACTGTAATAAAAAATAAATAACTGGCTAGCATTCAAGTCAAGTGTTGATGTTAGCTGCCATATTAAAGTAAAATGGTGATTGCAGGGGAATAGAAGAAACTTTTATTATCAATAAAAGCTAGTTTTATTGTTTCAAAAGTTGGCTGCATTGCTTAATGTTAAGCTTTTCTTGTAAAGTTGCGAGAGCAGAAAAGAATGCTGCTGTGAAATTTGCACCAACCTTGAAAGGATTGGTTAAGGCAAGAGGATATTATAATTGCCAAATCCTACGTGGATGCAAGTGTTTGTGATTAAAAGGATGAATATGTCTAACAGGAAGTGATATCAGCAAAATAATTCACATAAAAAAGCTCACAGAAATATTGCATGACCCTAAAAGCCTAAAGGAAAAATGGTTCAAAGCTAATCCAAAAGAGCAGGACAGCCGAAACCAGTGTGGCTCAGTGGATAGAGCGTCGGCCTGCGGACTGAAGGGTCCCAGGTTCGATTCTGATCAGGCGCAAATATCTTGGTTGCAAACACATCCCCAGTAGGGGGTGTGCAGGAGGCAGCTAATGGATGTTTCTCTCTCATCGATGTTTCTAACTCTCTCTCCCTCTCTGTAAAAAATCAATAAAATATATATTTCAAAACAAAACAAAAAACAAACAAATGAGTAGGACAGTTCACCAAGACATGGTAAAGATGCTCATTGAGTATTGTATCATGAGAAGGTGGCAAGCATATTTCCAGATAGAAAATACCTTAATGTTTGATGCTCTAATGTTTTGAATTGCAGTGCACTAAGTAAATGTGTTTTCTTATTTCTTTTTCTTTCCCCGTATATTTAAAACTGATAATATGAATTTTAATGGTTTTTTTAAAAATATATTTTATTGATTTTTGTACAGAGAGGAAGGGAGAGAGATAGAGAGTTAGAAACATCAATGAGAGAGAGTCATCGATCAGCGGCCTCTTGCACACCCCCTACTGGGGATATGCCCGCAACCAAGGTACATGCCCTTGACCGGAATTGAACCCGGGGCCCTTTAGTCCCCAAGCCGACACTCTATCCATTGAGCCAAACCGGTCCCGGCGAATTTTAATGTTTTGAAGAAATTGTTACAGTTTACAGAGCAACGGTCATTTTTCTATTGACCATGAGTTTGCTTTGCATTGTTCTGCTTACAATCCTGCAGTAGCATTCAGAGTGAAGACCGACTATATTGTAGCTAATAGGGAGGGGGTGGGGGAAGCTCTTGAAAACTCAACAGAAGGATTGGAAGATAATGTTAAGAGAATACTCTTGAAATTTGAGTAAAAATAATTTTTAAAAAGTATATTAGAAGAAATATAGGATGGTAACTGCTAGTTCCAATGCCAAAATCAGGGGTACAAAATACACCTTTGATAACTAATCCATGGTACCAAGGGCAGCCCCTCTCCTTCCTCAGCACACATTCTTGCTGTGTGAGTAGTTCAGTTCTTTTGAGTCTGTCAAGACTTTTGTCTGCTTACTTCAAAGCCATATTCAGCTGCAGATCGCAAACACAATGCAAAGGGCTGGTGTCTGCTTACTGGAGCTGAAATGCTTTTTTCAGAAAGGCCTTAACAGCGAACCTTATTGGTCTAGATTTACCACTTCGACCTACTTCATTCATTTACTTTCATGAAAATGGAGACTTCTATACGGATTCTCTGAGAGACATTCATTAGGTCAGTGTTCAGAAACAAATAATTGTTTTGATAAATTGCTTCATTCCTGCAGGCATCCTACTTTGCCACTTGTGAGCTCGCATTTGGTGACAGAATCTAGAAGTCAAGTCTAAAGCTTATTCAGGGCTGGGGAGGGGGAGCAAGTGTTCAAGGCACCCAGAGAGAAGACCATGTCTTTCCACACTAATGCAATACTCAGGGCAGGTTTGTGTAATTTTATTGAGTTGAACTGAGGTAAATCAATTGATTCAGTCTAAATGAATCAACAGCAGGTCTTCCTGTTGATTTTTAGACTAAAATTATTTTTTTTTCCTGAGGAAGTCCTTGAAACCTGGCCCTTCAACAAGGGCTCAGAATATCCATCTGTAATGTCTTTCTGGGAACAAAAGAACATTTTATTTTATTTTATTTTATTTTTTTTATTTTATTTTACTTTATTGATTTTTTACAGAGAGGAAGAGAGAGGGATAAAGAGTCAGAAACATCAATGAGAGAGAATCATCGATCCGCTGCCTCTTGCATACCCCCTACTGGGAATGTGCCTATAACCAAGGTACATGCCCTTGACAGGAATCGAACCTGGGACCTTTCA